CAGTTTGGAAATTGGCAGAAGAAGGGTTGCTAATGGGTGAAGTAGATGTGAAGATGTGAAGCAGAGAAAGATAACGAAAGCTGCCTAGAATCCAGTCTCACTTCTCCACTGTTCCTGTAAGGATCCCATAATCAAATGAAACTGGTCCAAAGAAACAGAGAGTTGAATTCAGTATTAGAAACCAGAAAACTGGGGACAGGATACATAACACAGTGGGCAAAGTGCCTTCTTTGTACTCAGCTGACCTGGGTTCAATACTTGTCATCCCATATGATCCTGAGAACTTCCAGTAGTGACTCCTGAGGACAGAGCCAGGAGTAAGCCCTGAGCATCACTGGGTGTTGCCTCCCAAAACAAAACAAAGCCCCAAAACCAAGAAACCAGTAAACTTGTTCAGGCAGAAGTGCTTTTAACATGCTAAGAATGCGTCCCCCCCTCCCCCCACCCCCGTCCCTTGTCTTGCACTAAAGGGTAAAAGGACAGAAAGCTCAATCAGAAATCTTTATTTGGGGAGTGCGGGGGTGGGAGGAGGTGGGGGAGTCAGGAGGGAAACAGGGATATTGGTGCTGGGAAATGTACACTGGTGAAGGGATGGGTGTTAGAACACTGAATGACTGAAACCCAATCATGAACAGCTTTGTAACTGTGTATCTTGCGGTGATTTAATCGCCCCAAAAATGTTTTAATTAAATTTTTAAAAATTTCAATAATTAATAACTGTTTTTTGAAAAAATAAATCTTTATTTGTAGTTACAGGGGAAATTTGCTTCTGGGGCCCAGCCAGGAGGGGATTTACTGATCACCCTGGCACTGCCAGTCAGCACGACCCTTCCTAAAAACAATCTTCCCCAGTCTCTTTTCTTATAAAAACTGCTTCTGTCCATGCAGGCAAGAGGGTTTTGGGGACATGAGTCACCATCTCAGGTGACCCAACCTCTGAACAAGCCTGTTTTTCTCACATCACCTCTTATCTCTTGAATATTGGTATTTGAGCACTGAGCACCTGAATGTAGGTTTGGTAACAAAATGACCAACAAAAGAAGTGTCTGTTTTACGTGGTTCTTATGCCTTGAGCAGTGGCTTTCAAAGTCGGCTTCTGTTATCAGCAATATCTAACAAACTTAGTAGAAATGTGGCTTCTCAGACCGTTTGCCAGATTTCTCAACTAGAAATTCTTGGAGGTGGAGTTCAGGGTTATGCCACTAAGCAACCCTTCCTGTTGCTGCGATACACTTCACTGGTAACAAAATTACCTGAAAATTCTGGTTAAAGCACTAAGGCCCCCTTCTCTATCCCATATCCACAAATCTAGATTTCTGAAATTTACTCTCCAAAAACACCAAAACCATAGATCCCAGCACATGAGAGGACTGAGAAGTAAACCGTGAAGTGAATGTAGCCCAAAGCAGTAAGAAATTTACTTTCAGATTAAAATAACAGATTGGGGGGCTGGAGCAATAGCACAGCAGGGAGGGCGTTTGCCTTGCACGCAGCCAACCTAGGTTTGATTCCCAGCATCCCATATGGTCCCCCAAGCACCGCCAAAAGTAATTCCTGAGTGCATGAACCAGGAGTGACTCCTGTGCATCGCTGGGTGTGACCCAAAAAGCAATAAATAAATAAATAAATAAAACAGATTGATCAACAGCCACAAAGAGAAGTATTCTACATCCTGACCCTTGCATGAGGCTGACCTGGGTTCAATTCCCAGTACCACATATGGTCTCCCGAGCCCTGCCAGGAGTGATCCTGTGCAAAGACCCAGGAGAAAGTCCTGAGTATCACTAGGTGTGACTACAAAACAAAAACAAACAAAAACTTTTCAAAAGAACATTACTAAATAAGAAAGTATTAACAACTGGGAAATAAGCACATAGCACTTAAAATAAGTAGCATAGAGAAGTGGACCAAAACAGGGTTCTAGAGCCAATCTACCTGGATTTGACTTCTGACTGTCACTTGTTAACTGTGTTATACAACCCCTCTGTACCTTAATAGCCTAATCAGTAAAATGACTATAAAAGTATATATCCCACGATCCCATAAAACGGCATCTGATACACATGTATATTTAGCTTGGCCTATAAGTACAAGTTTTAGTTTGCAGCAAAGCCACTTTGCCTCTGACCCACCAGTCTTTCACTCTTCTGCCCAGTGTCTAAAGAAATCCAATCTAGGTCAGTGACCAGTTTCATAGACAGGGCAATTGTACTTCAGTTTTACAGATCATAAAATTGAACTTCATTCAGCTAGATACGTCCATCACACTTCAAAGATTTTAGCTCACATATCATTCTGAATTTTTTAGACTAATTAACAGAAATTCAATATCTTTGCATAAATGATTTAGATGATATATAGTACTATAATTGATGTTAACAGATAATAAAAGATAAAATTTAGATTATTATTTCAAAAGGGTATAATTTTTAGCCATGCTTCCCTCCTTTTATTTAAAAACTGATAAAATAAAATGGGTATATACCTTATTAAATAAAATGTAAATAACAAATAAAGTTAGCTTTTGTATCAGAAAAAGTTAGATTTATGTGACAGAGAGATAGCACCATGCGTAGGATGCTTGCCTTGTATGAAGCAGACCGAAGTTCAATCTCCAGCTTCCCCCAAACACCATCAGGTGTAATTCCTGAGTACAGAGCCAGGAGATACCCCGAACACCACCAGGTGTGGCCCAAAAACAAACAAACAAAAAGTCAAATTTAGTATTTCTGAGGTGTATTCATTCAATCTAGAACAAAAATTAATTAAATGAAAATTTCTAAAAATATTTTTAAAAAATAAAAAAATTTCTAAAAATATTCATGATCTTCATCAAGATCATGAACGATTGATTTGAGGCTCTTCGTGTTCCTAAAAATATTTTAATAACTGTAAATTTTTTATTTCAATACTTGAATTTTCTGTCCATGTCTCAAAAATTAAGAACAACATGATAATATTCTTTAAACAATCATGTGTTATTTTCAATTTAACTGATAATATAAGTACACACATCCAAATCAATATTGAAGAGTTTTGTGAGGGTTCAGACAAGAAAGCTCACAGGGCTAACCACAGACCCCAAGCTTGGTCCCAGGCTTCACATGATCCCTAAAACACTGCTGTGTGTAGCCCTAGTGGCCCTTGAGAGCCACCAGGTATGGTCCTAGTGGCTCCCCCAAATGCCCAAGTCCAAGCATTGAACCAACTGTCTGGACCAAGCAACAAGTATTTCTGAGTGTCCTTCAGTATCCTGAGCCATAAATAAAATAAAATAAAATAAAAAATAAATTCCAAAACTGTGACTTTTTGAAAGTTTCATAAAATCTATTTTGCCCAATATAACTCACTATAAGATTACATAAAAACTAAAGTTGCACCCAATACATTAGAAATATTGTCTCCAAATACTTTAATAAAACTTTTACAACTCTGTCGTGCTGGAGATCAAACCAGAATCCGACACATGCAAAGCAATGCCACAATCCCTGTAATGCCTCTCCAGCCCCCCAAAAGTAATTTATCATGATAAATCTCCGCATTGAAAGATAATATCCATGAACTTCTTATCATTTCAAGAGCTATTTAAATGAAACAAGAAAAGTTCTAAAATTTTAAGAACATTGAGAGAGCTACTGGGATCATTGGTGGTGGAGAATGGGCACTGGTGGAGGGTTGGGTACTCAATCATTGAATAACTGAAACCCAAGCACGGAAGTTTGTAAGTCTACAACTGTGCCTATGGTGTTTCACTAATAAAAAAAATTTAAGAATACTGTCAAGGGAATAACAGATATCTGACCTCTACGTGCGTCAAAGTTTTAAGTTAGCATTCCTCTTGTGGAAATCAACTTGTCTCACTGAATCTTCCTTGAAAGATCAATTGTCAGAGTAAGGAGCTCAGGATGAATGAGGATTTATGTACGAAACCAAAAGATAAACTGATGCATTTAGAAAGTTTTCTAGTGTGAGCAGTGTGGGTTTTTTTTATTGTCATTTTGTTTATTGGGGGGGTTGGGGGTTTTGTGTTGTTGTTTTGTTTGTTTTTTGCATTTGTATATATCAGCTAATGACCTTTTTTTTCAATTACGCTTAAGAGTGTTCTACTCTGATAAAATGCAGTGTCTGAGTAGCTCAAACTAAACATTGACACTGTTGTTCCCTTGGAGGAGGTTCAGAGACAAGATTTAGAGATCTGACTCGGGGACAATTCTTGTTCAGGCTTATTTACATTATGCTCTACAGTTTCCAAAGGACATTTAACAAGTTCTATTCCTGGTCAGATTTTCCAGCTACCTAATGAGTAGGTATTGTTGTCATCCAGATGTCACAGGTAACAAAACCGAGGAACAAAGAGAATATCCCGCCAAAGCTAACAAAGAAAGCAGCAGATGGAGGTCAAACCCAACTCTGGCTTCAATTTTTCTTTTTTGGTTTTTTGGGTCACACCCGGCGATACTCAGGGGTTACTCCTGGTCCTGCACTCAGGAATTACTCCTGGAGATGGTTGGGGGACCATATGGGATGCCGAGGCTCGAACCCAAGTGGCCGAACCTTGCGCGATCGCGCGCAAGGCAAACGCCCTCCCGCGCTGTGATTCCAAATTTTATTCTCATTTCACCTCTCCCTTGTTGTCTACTCCAAACATGTCACCTCGCAACCACACACCCCAAGTCCCTTCAGAAGATATCAGTGCAAATACATATTCCCTTCTTCACACGGGGAAGAAAGCCGGGGACAAGCAGGAATCTCGTGCTTTTTTCCCAACTCCCCTGGGAGGAGAGGGAGCGAGTTCTTAGGAAAACCAGGCAGATTCCCCGCCTCGCAGAGCAAAGCTGGGGAAAGGGGTGTAAACTGCCCTCCCGTCTGTTTCCTGTAAGACGATCCTTCCGAACTAACCCAGCGAGCCAGAAACGAGTGTGAACTTGGCGAGGAAGTTCGGGGCGAGAGCAGGAGCCGAGCGCACTCCCTGCCCGGGCGCGGGGCTCGCGGGGACTCACCGGCTGCGCTGCGGCTCCGCGGCTTGTAGGGCCGGGCCATGGTCGGGACGCGCTTCAGCACCGCGGACAGCTCCGGGCTCTGCGGCGGCGCGGGCCTCGGGCTCCGGGAGACTGCGAGCGGGTCCCGGGGCGGCGCGGGCGCGGCGGGCGGCGGCGGCGGCGGAGAGCCCGACTGCACCACGGCGTTGCGAGAACGCGCCAGCGCCGAGGAGACCGAGCCCATCTCAGCGGGCCGCCGAGACTCCCCGGGGGACCCCGCGCCCTGGGCGGCCCAAGTGGCCCGGTCCTCGCTCCGGGACGCCCCCAGCCTCCAGCACGCCTCCGAGCCCCGCGGGTGGAGACCAGCCCGGCCGTGCCCGCGCTTGGGTGACGGTGCGGGCTGGGGTCTCCGGCGCCCTTGGCAAGGTCCGTGTGCAGAGAATTTATTGGGGGTGGGAAGAGGCGAAGGTGGGAGGAGGAGGGGTGTGGCATGAAGCGAAGGGCACTTTTTCCTCTGCTTTCTGAGCTTGGCTCACCTGGGGCCAAGGGGCCGCCACGGCCTTCCTGTTCTGACACATGTGGGCCACCTCTGTCCCTCAGCGAGGGGGGTTGGAGGGCTAAGGAGCCTACATGTGTTACTTTCTCAGAAACTTCTCTTGGAGCCTATAAGACTGTTCTGGCTGTGCTTTCCCCCAGGATGCCTGTCCCAGAGGCAGATTTGGCCAAAACGTGCCTTCTCCAGTGCCCTCCAGCCAGGGACTCCAACTTCCTTGCGTGCACAGAAACTGCCAAGTTCCTCTGTGGTTGAGGCCGGGGAGGACCAGCAGGCACCAGCAGCGGGTTAGGTGGGCGCTGAGTTCTACGGCCCGGCTAGTTCCATGCAGGAAATGGGGAGGCAGGTCACAGCCTGTCCTGGGGATTCCCAGGCTGTGAAGAAAGAGAAGGCGGCCTGGGACCCTTTGCACAGAACAAACCAGCTGACCCCCCAAAGCTGGATGGGCCACCCGCGCGCGGGATTGTGTTTCAGCTCAAATCCTGTGTCCCAGAGAGGTCTTAGATCGTGCCCAGTGAGTTATTAGTAGTGGATCTGTATTTTGTGCTGCATCTCCTTTTTTCAGATCCAGACTGCTTCCCTCACTGTTTCCCCACTGAAATGGTTTCCCAGCACTGAATTGGTTCCACAATCACGACAGCAATTGACATTGTAGTGTGTGAAAGGAGAATGACTTCGTTAGGCCTTCCTCTGGGAGCTGGGGACCAAACTCCTGGTACAGGAAGGACTGCAAGCAGTGGAGTAACAGACAGATAATCACAGAGTCGAGTCGTTTGTCATGGAGGGGGCTTCAAATCCCCAATTGAGAAGAAGTGAAAACGGGGTCTTAGGAGCCGCAATTTGGATAAGAGACAAGTCAAAGGATTGTCTGTGGTGGAGAAGTTGTGAGTCCGGTCCAGCCCACTCTCTCTGTCACAGTTTCTGACAGACAGAAAGGAGCCAGAAGCCTAGGCCCTGTGCAGTGTTACACAGATGCACTGCCATCTATTTAGAGAAATACATACCATGATCCCCACAGCTTTCCAAGAACCTGGGAAGGGTCTCTCACCTCTGCCAGTATCAGGCATCTGATACACTCAAGGAAGAAAGACAACAGGAGTACAACAGGGACCACAGACCCAGGGGTTGATATAATTGCACCAAATACTTAGTCTCTTCATTGCTTTTTATGCTTCCCTTGGTCATCTCATGGTCAAATAGCCTGGTATAAATGGTCAATCTGGACATTTTAGAAAGAGAACTTTCTGAATAGATATTTCCTATTCCTGCTTTTAGACAGGCCTTCCCTAGAAACCTGTCCTAGGCATCATTGACAATCACAAAAGTGGATATGGAAAAGATATATTCTGGACCTACCTGAAGTCCCATATTCTATTTGGTTGAACCTATTTTGAAAATAACTAATATAATTGGGCTGATACTCAACCCCCCAGAACATATTCTCTCTCCTCCCTCCCCCCTCGCTCTCTCCTCCCTCTCTCCCTCTCTCTCTCTCTCTCTCTCTCTCTCTCTCTCTCTCTTCCCCCCCCACCCAATGTTGTGGTGGGGGTTGTTAATGATGCTGCTAATAATCAGACATTCTCAGTGGGAATAAATGAGTTTTGGAAACCAAAATGGTCTTCTCCATCTTTTTTTCCATTTGTATTCACATAGTTGTTGCATAGTCATCTTGAACTTGGGGAGAGAACCTGTTAGAAAATGTGCCTGCCATGGGTAATAGGTTATCAGTTTTCTAGAATTGAGCCTTTCCTCTTCCAGCTTTTGACCTTATCCATCAAAGGCAGTGGAGTTCCCTCCAGATTTCAGCCAGTGGGTGCTCAGTAGAATGTTCACTGGGAAGAAATGACTCACTTATCAACAACCTCAGGGATGTCGCTGAGCAGGGAATTAGAGCCCTGAAGGTTTTATCATTTACAGTATTGACTTTTATCTAAAACCTGTGCTCTGAGACACAGAAAGAGTGGCAAAGTTCCCCGTTCTTTTATGGTCTGGAAAACTACCTAAGAAATACCCCTCTTATTCTCAGAGAGATGACTCAAAGGACCGTTGCTCATGCTTGCATGCTGACACCACCACCCACCACCCATCCCACCCCCACTGCCATTAAAATCCCCAACACCTCCCAGTCCCAAGCACCATCATGTTTAGTAAAATAAACATAACAATAATAGTAAGACTCAATGATACCTCCATGACAAGGTGAGACACTGACTCTTTCTTTGTTTCATAAATTATCAGATGAGCTGTTTCCTCCCCAAAGATCAAATGGGCAAAATATTTATTATTTTGCTATTCTTCTCTTCATCATCCAAGCTTCTGAATGTTGGCCTACTCATAGTCTGAGCCAGCATAAAACCCCTACTGAACAAAGAGGTTGTGTTGGGATAAAATATTCTCTGATATACTATCTGTCGTGGCACCCTTCATCCCACTTCTTCCTTCTAACCTTGTCTACTTCTCTCTATACAAGGACTGAGCACTGAGCACTGTCCTCCCGCTGTTCATCGATTTGCTCGAGCGGGCCCAGTAACATCTCCATTGTGAGACTTCTGTTACTGTGTTTGGCATATTGAATATGTCACGGGTATCTTGCCAGGCTTTGTCTCGGGAGCGAGATACTCTCAGTAGCTTGCTCGGCTCTCAAAGAGGGGCGGAGGAATCGGCCAGGTCAGCTGCACGCAAGGCAGACACCCTACCGCTGTGCTATCGCTCCTGCCCTACACAAGGGCATTCCTTTTTTTCTTTTTTGGCAATGCTGGGTATTAAACCCAGAATCTCACACATGAAAAGCAAATTCTTTAACCACTGGACATATCTCTGAACCAAGAAAATTCCTTTTTGCCTAACTCATTAGATGCTTGCATAGTTCATCATTAGAGCATTCTCCCTATTGAAATAATAACTTTCCTGCTGAAATAATTCTTTCAAATAAATTTTCTCCTTACAAAGTCCAGATTTTTTTATTTGACACCGTATCATTTTTATACAGGATAATTTACCCTTCCTTGAGTAAAGGGAAGAAGGTAGGCAATGATATTTTCAAAACCCATGGGGCCTTGTATACAGCCTTGAATATTACATACACTTTAATCTCATTTGGGTTTTTTTTGCTATAATATTATGATTAAAATATTATCCCCATTTTAGAGATGAGAAAAAACTGAAGTTCAGAGACATAAAATGATTTCCTCAAGTTTCCCCAAAGGCCAGAATCTCAGTTATTACCTTGAATTCACAGACTCCACAAAGACAACTGCTTCCTGATGGAACATTAAAGACTCCAGGGACCAAGGTCTTCCTTGATCAGTCTGGGAAACTAGAGTCAACCAATAAGTTAATAACAACAGTATAGAGTCAAGTCTGAATCTTCATCCCTAGTTTCTTCCTATTTCTAGTACAGTACAGACAATTCCATGTCATCAGCCTTATTCTATTTTGTTTTGGTTTGGATGTTTTGTTTTGTTTTGTTTTGTTTTGAGTTACTCCTGGCTCTCAACTCAGGGATCACTCTTGGTGATGCTCAGGGTACTGGGATTGAACCTAGGTCAACTGCATACAAGTCAAGCACCTTTCCTGTTATACTAACTCTTCAGGCCCTGGCTGGATTTTGGGTTTTTTTTTCTTTTTAATTGTAGTTCATGCAAGGTTGCAATGGTGTTAAATGTTTATAATTTTTATGTATAAAGTTACTGCATCTTTACCACCACCGAGAACCCAAGACTCTCCACCACTGCTTTTGTGTCTCCCTCTCTCATTTCTAGTCCCCATCTTCCTTTCCTGCTCCAAACCCTCCCTGCTTGGGAATCTCAGTTTTGTAATCCAAAGTCATGAGTTTGTCATCAGTCAATAAGGGTATGCTTTTTTTTTTCTTTCTCCACATGCCTTTGGTTATTGTTTATTGTGGTGTCTGGATGTGATGCCTGGAAATTTGATATCCAAATCATGAGGCTTTATTGACCTTATTCTAACTACTCCCTGCTCAGGTAATTGAATAACTCCCACGAAAGTTGAGCAGAATCCAGAAAGTCCATGCCCACAAAATGAAATTGTCTCAAGTCACAACACATAAACTCAAGAAGCAATTCAGATCCTTCAATGTTGATTGATCTCAATAGCTTTTCTTGATCAACCATATGTAGAACAAGGCTCCTGCCCAATGAAGCCTAAGGGAATATGTTAATAATGCTGATAGCCTGGCTGTACTACAGGTAAATAAAGAGAAAAGGTAAATAAAGGGAAGAAGCACACAATTCAATCTTGAAAGATCAGAAGGTAACATGTTCCAGGGACATCTGGAAGCTGGAGAAGGGTTGGGATGTAGAGCCCAAGCTCTGTGACGTCATTGCTAAGCCTCTGGATGCAGTCCAGGAATAAACATCCTAAGTATTGTTCTTAAAAACAATGACACACGGATGTTTTCTACTAGGTGTTCCATTGTTTCATTTGGCTTTGCAGTAACCTGGTAAATCACAAAGGTTAAAGATATGATTCACCCTCATTCTATATTCCAAAAAATCATCATCATCATCATAATAACAAAGGTTTAAAGGCCAAAATGAACTACCCAAGTGTAAGTGGTGAGTAAAAAATAACAAGTCTAACTCTAGCTCTCAGGTCTCTGATTCCAGCCAGTGTTCTGTCTACTGAAAAAATCAAAAAGCAAGGTTGAGTTGGGTGTTGGATTCATCTGTCTATTCCAATGTGTA